CTGAAGCTAAATTGGCCATAGAAGCACAGAATGATGACTTGAAGAGAATTAGTGGTTGGTCCAGATCACTTGGTATAACTATAAATCCAAGTAAGTCTCAAGCAATAATAGTAAGTAGCAGATATACTAGTAGCTTAATTGATAAATGCACTCTGCCAGATGTGATTATCAATGGCACATCAATTACTTATACTGAATCTGTGAAGAACTTGGCCTTAATTATTGACAATAGGTTGTCGTGGGGTCCTCACATAACGGACTTAAGTAGAAAAGTTTATTATGCTTTCCACGCATTAAAACGTCTTCAAAGTTTTTTACCCTTATCAACGAAAATCTCTCTTGTTCAAACTCTTATTTTGCCTATCTTAGATTACGCTGATGTCTGTTTTTTGGATACCACAGAGGAGCAATTAAACAAACTTGAGCGATTGCAAATTTTTCATTCGGTATATTTTCGGACTCAAGAAGTTTGACCACGTCTCTAAATATAGAAAGCAAAACGTCTCTAAAAATAGAAAGGCTCCCGATCCGATTTCGCAGGAACACTCGTATTCTTTGTCTCCTTTTTAACATCCTACATAGCCCAAATTTCCCTACATACCTCCGAAATAGATTTACCTTTCTTAAATCCCCAAATACAGTCTGTAGATCTCACCTTAAAACTCTCTTAAAATTCCCATCCTTTAATACTTATTCATATTCCCGTTCATTCTCCGTACAAGCAGTAAGACTCTGGAATTCGCTTCCTACTCACATTCGAAAAATCAAAACAGTGACATTGTTCAAAAAACGAGTGAAAGAACATTATTTATCGCTGTCTTCTATGTAAGTTTCAAATCTCTGATATTTACTATACTGTTACAAATATATGCATTTAAATATATGTATGTATGTGTGTATGTGTGTGTGTGTGTGTGTGTGTGTGTGTGTGTGTGTGTGTGTGTGTGTGTGTGTGTGTGTATATATATATACGTTTTTTATATTTAACTATGACTATATTATATTAAGTATTTATGTATGTATTAATGTTTGTTTAAATACGAGTATATTTATGTATTTATTTTATCCCCATATGTGTTGTATAATAACAAAGTGCACACCTTATAATCATTTATTAATTATGTGTTTGAAACTGGCCTACTGGAAGAAATTTCATTTTGAGATAAGTTGAGCCTTTGTGCAAACTGTTTATCATGATGTGTCCTCTGCCTTACTTGTGTGTACATAAATTGTGAAATAAATAAATAAAATAAACAATAAATCACACGTGCGCACTCAACAAGCCGAAACAAGAGAGTGAGTGAAGCCCGCAGTACTGTACCTGTATCTGCGTAAGTGAGATAACTAATACTTTGGACGTTTTAAGATAGAAAGAGACAAAAAATAAGCGACGAAAATAGCGCGTACGACGGGTTGGCTTCATGGAGCATAAACATATAAAAATAAAAGAGATAAATTGCTTTTTTAGAGCGAGACGGAAACACTTTCTAAATATTAACTACAAGAAAAATAGTATGTATAGGTAACTAAAAAAGTGATCAATAAAAATTTCTTCTCTCTGTTTAAATAAAAAAAAACTATAAAACTCTTTACATCCTTTTTTATTCTGTATTGTGTAGGCATTTAATATTTCCTTGTGCAGTAAAGTATATTTAGTATTGTTTCTAACAGTTTTACTTATTTAAGTCATATTTCATGAAGCTACCTCTAACAACATTCCAGGATCCCTGTGTATGTATATAAGTAAGTATATACTGTTTGGGTGCTCACCTACTACTTGCGCATATTAACTCATTTGATTTAAATCAATCGACAATTTCAAAATCACGGGATTTCAGAGGCGTATCCATGTTACATCAATGTTTGCGGTCATTCACTCAAACAGCTCTACCTACTCCGACCACTGCTAATGACTTTAAATGCTTTTAGGTGAGGAATTTTTTTTAGAACTTTAAATCTTAATTGCTGCATTCATGCGATTATTGATCATAAATATTAAATCTGAGTTCGTTAAAGCACTAGGCCTTACCATAGTAAGATAAGGCCTTGCTAGTAGGTTTTTAGAAATGTTTCTTTTTGTTTTTCTCTATTGCAAAAAATTATTTTTAGAAACTGTACTAAGAGAATGATTATATTAAAATCTGTAGAGCAATTTGTTTTTTTTTTGTAGACTTTCCCGCAGGTACTACATACAATAAGTAGAAAATAGTGTCTTGGTTGTAACCAAAAGTCAATAGACACACACACAACACACACACACACACACACACACACACACACACACACACACACAACACAAACACACACACACAAACACACAAGCAAACACACACACAAACACACACACAAACACACAAGCAAACACACACACAAACACACATACAAACACACATCCAAATACAAACACGCGGCACGCAGGGAACGCACACACACACACTCACGCACGCACGAATGCATGCACGCAATTACGCACGTACGCGTACTTGCGTGATTGCGTGCGTACGCACAATTTACATGCCTTCTTCTGGACTCACCACAGGCAACTAGGCACTCTCGGCACTTCACCGCCGTCGGCAAAAGGGACTACAGCATGTTCATGAGGCGGCGCTGTCTTGTCGTGCCAAAAACGTAGATAAACCGTTGCCTGAACCACACTCTGAAAGTCTAACTACCTGTATAAGAATATTGAACAAACTCCGTGGTACATACGGAGCGTTGGCTGCTCCCCGGGCCGAGCACCTCGCTCGGTGGAAGATCTCTTTTTTCCTTAGACGGCCAAAGTGTCATAAAATAATGTTTTTAATTTTTTTAACTTAACATGTAGCTATATCTTCCATGCCGTGTAGTGGCTGAGTGAGAGAATCCATTACCCCATAATATTATCCCGTGGAAGTCGTAAGAGTAGACAGAGGGAAATGAAACAGGATATGGAGAGCGGCCTTTCCCTGTTCAACTCAAAATAATAAAGTGCGATTACCAAACCGCTTGCGAAGCGTATCTATAATAGCAAAAATAACCCCTTGGTAGCAATCTATGTTCAACAGTGGACTTTTGATTGGATGTAATGTTAAAAAAGTATACATAGGAAAGAAAAACTGCTGGGTAACTCAAGCTTTTGCTAAAGAAATGGGTGAATCGTTTTTGTGTAAGGTAATGTTACGACTCGGCCACACTATGCTCCTCGCGCTGACCATTTTTTTTGGATCATAGCTCTGCTCCTCGCGCTGCCGCGATATTGCCCTGTCTGTCCACACTTCCTATATATAAAAAAGTACTCTGTGGTCCACACACTGCTCTACTCGCGCAATTAATCGCGACACTAGGTCGCTCGCGTTTGCAACACAATGGATGTTGAAACTGTTGCAGTGTGCGAGCTATGCATATTTATTATAGCTAATTATATCAATGTCACAAAAAGAAATATATGTTGTCATCGTCGAGATAGTTTTATCTGTATATTATTTGCTTATGTGATAATATGTACCAGTTAATATGGCTGAATGATGAGTAAATGACGAGTACCGAGCACTTGCTTCTGACTGCGTTTGCACTAGTGTGTGGCCAACCACTTGTCGCGAAGACCTTTCATTCCATCACGAATTGGTTATTGCCCGAGTTCGAATTCGATATTCTTTATGCGATTGACCTACATGAAGGACACGTATATGTCCTACATTCTGTATTAGTGAATATCTGTTACCAGATATCTCTTTGTGGGACCTCTTGTCCCTGAAGAGCCTTCACAAGCTTTCCCTTAGCCTCCACATCTAGGTAACAGCAGCTTTATATTTACACATTTACATTTATACATTTACATATTTCAACAATATGAAATGCAGTGATATATTATAATATATATAACACTTACCAATATCTCCTTGCCAAGACGCAACAGCAACTCTTGCTAGAGAGTAGTGTCTCCTTCGAACCACAACTTCCAACTGACTCTTAATTCGACACTAACATTTAAGTCATTTCAGTCAGTTCCCCCTCTCTCAACCAGTGTTGCCCTCTTAGCAACATTAATTCTACCCATATTTAAATCGCGTTCGCGACACTCCCGAGAGCGAAAGGAAACATGTATGTTATTTGATAACATCCTTTTATTATCATTCAAATAACAAAAAATCTCTTATTGCTAAATTATAAACTTTAATCTGTCATCATAAATGAACTCTTATTATTATGATTGTTTAGAAAGTAGGTCTCTAGATTAAACTGATATTAATTCCCTAGCTTTTTCTGCAGCTGATCTACTACTTCTCCTATTTTGTCTTTCTTAATCAGAGCTTCTTTTATTAAGGATACCATCCTCACTACCTTCTAATTCTTTATTGGTGACTACTTTTTTAATAGATCTGTCTGATATATGCACACCTTCCTTGCAGTCAATTTCAAGAGGGTAAAGAGGTGCTATAGACCTATTATATTCCTTGTCCCCAACTTTAACTGATGCTACCCTAACTTCTCCATCTTTACTTCTATATAAGGTTACAATTTTACCAGTTTTCCATGTACTTCTGTTGTTATTGTCTCCCTTAATCTGCACTGTCCCCTATTTCAGGGTTTTTCTTTGACACTATGCGTGGTTGCCTATTCATACGCTGTGTTCTTTCTCTTAACATACTTAGGTACTGGTAACTAAACATTTTTTTGAATTCTTCTAATAACCTTTGTCCTCTTCGCCATCCTTCTATCAAAGCCACTTTGATTTCGGACTACTTTTGAGGCATATATGGTTCACTCGATGGGATTAGTAAGGATTTATTTAAACATAAAAAATCAATGGGTCTTAAGACACGGTCTATTTCTGCCCCAGGTAAGTCAAAGGTCTAGTATTTATAACTGTTTCAATCTCCTTAGTTACAGTACGTAATTGACTTTCGTTAAGCAAGCTTTTCTCCAGACTTCTCTTAAAACAGTATTTTACGAGACCCACAAGTCTTTCGTACACTCTGCCGTGCCATGGAGCTAGTTCTGGTATAAACTTTCATTTAATTTTATTTCCTAAACAAAAGGGACCAGAGACAAGCATCAGCTGTTAATTTGTATTGGGAAGCATTATCAGATAAAATTAATTTTGATATTCCTCTAGCTGCAAAAAAACGTCTTAGTGCTAATGCACATTGTTCTGTGGTTAAATCTTGAACTACTTCCAAGTGAATAGCTCGAGTAACCAAGCAGGTATATATGCATATCCACATTTTATGTTTCTCTTTCCTGTCATTAGATATAAGTAGTGGCCCCAGATAATCTAAACCCATATATGTAAATGAATTCTCATAGTTAACCCTTTCGGCAGGAAAATCTGGCATTAGAGGGAGTTTGTATGGTCCTCCTCCATATTTTTGACACTGAAAACATTTTTTGATTACTTTTTGAACTTGGGACCTTCCTTGAGGTATCCAGTACTTCTGGCGGATAAGATTTAATGTGTGTGAAGTGCCTACATGGTAGTTTTCCTCATGAATAGATTTTATAATATGTTCTGTCAATTTACAATTTTTTGGTAGTAAAATTGGGCATTTCTGGTCATATGATAAATCAGCTAATATCATCCTGCCTTTGCATCTCAGAATGTCATCTTTGTCTTTAAATACTCCTAAACTTCTTCCCAAATCTGTAACTATGCCTCTAAATTCATTAGGATAATTTATTTTTTGATATTGTTGAATCACACTATCCAAATTATTAATATTCTCATTTAGTGACAATGGTAATAGACCGCCTTCATTAATGCTTTCCGTTGTCAATTCTACATCATTTGTTTCATCATTTTCTTCCAATCTTTCTTCGAAGGATTGATTGCTTGTCTGAAGTGATTCCATATCTATACGGATTCTGATTCAGTCAGACCCTCCGCAGTAAAGAGAGTTCTTAAATTTGTCCAATTATTATCATAGTTAATATTTTTATGTAAGAACTGAGGGCCATCAAACCATAGGTGTCTTCTTTTTAGTGAATCTTCTCTCGTAGCAATATCTGCAGGATTATCTTCCGATTTAACATATATTATGATGTGTTTTTTATTTCACTTACTCTTCGGTCTATAAAAGGTGGTAACAACTTTTCTGACCTAATCCAGCTTATGACGACTTGACTATCTGTCCATAAACACATTTTGTCTATTTTTAATTCTATATTCTCTTTTGTAAAATCTAAGAGTCTACATCCTATCAAACATCCTAAGAGTTCAAGTTTGGGTATTTGAAGTTCTTTATTTTTTAATGGTTTCAATCTTGATTTTGCCATTAAAAGATTAACTTGTGTACTTGTTGGATATCTGCAAACTATATATACAACTGCAGCATAAACCCTCATGGATGAATCTGAAAAGCAATGTAATTCTATCTCATTTGGTGTTTCTTCTGTACCAATATATCTAGGGACGCTAAACATCTTGATGTCTTTATCCATGCTTCTAACAATTTCTTCCCACTTCTTTATTTGACCTTCATCTAATTGTGCATCCCATTTTATCTTCCTACTCCATAAATCTTGCAGAAATAACTTTGCTGGTAACAGGTATTAAAAATCCACAAGGATCATAAATTGTAGCTATATATTTTAATTCCTTTCTTTTTGTAATTTTATGATTCAAACATTTCTCAGCCTGATTTTCTTGGACATTTTAATGTAAAATATCTTTTTTAGTGTTCCAGATCATACTTAGAACTTTAGTAGATTCTTTATTTTCTAATAGGTTTATTGGTATAGCTTCAATAAATTCTTTGCTATTTGAGTTCCATTGTCTTACATTCATAGAGATATCTTGTAATGCTGTATATACTTTACTTTGTAGTTTAATGGCATCTTGGACTGATTCTACTGCTGTTATCAGATTATCAACATATATTTTTTCTGATGTATTGGCCACTAAAGGGTCTCGATTGTTAGATAAATGGTACTTAATGATAGCGTTTAGTAGAAATGGACTAGAAACTATACCAAAAGAAACTCTACAAAATCGATAACATTCAAAATTGTCTTCAGTTACTCCTGTTTTCCAATTCTTCAACCAAAGAAATCTTGTAACATCTTTATCCTGTTCCTGCAGACCTAATTGTAAAAAGGCTTTCTCTATGTCGGCTATTATACCTATCTTATGTTGTCAAAATCTTAACAGTAAACTAACAAGGTCTTGTAACATTAATGGACCCTTATACATTCATTAAGGCTATGATTGGAGTCCGTTTTTGCTGATGCATCATAAACAATTCTCAATTTAGTTGTGCCATCCTGTTTAATGATAGGGTGATGTGGAAGGTAATGCACAGGATGTGATTGAGGCTCAAGATAGTAGGGTACCCTTTCAATTATACCTAACTGCAATTGTGTGCATATTACTTCATCATATAATTTTATAGTCTCAGTGTTAATTCTATTCACTAAGCTTGCCAATCTTCCTAATGACAATCTATAATTAGAAGGTAGTTGCGGAGGATACTGCACCCAGGGCAACTTAACAATGTATCTATTATTTTTGAATGACACCGAATCTGAATAGTTTGATAGCTTCCTCCTCACTCACAGTTTTTGCAGAGTCTTTAATACCGATAGATTCCAAATCTCACAATTGGTTTAAATCAACCTCCCTTTTAATCAGACCAGGTTGAATAATTTCCAGATTGTTACTAAAATATGTATTTAAAAATGAAATAACAGAGAGAACATGATCTGATTCATCAATAACTTTGCCAGACCATACCCAACCAGTCTGTTTCAATGAGATATAAACTGTCATTAATTAAAATCTTACCGCTATTTATAAAGGAGAAGTAGTAGTCTTTGCCAATCAACAAATTAATTTCTTCTCCTAATGAACCATCATCAGCTAATGTAATGTTTAACCCATGGTTTCTGAAAACATAACATGAAACACTCTCAGCAATGAAAGGTACAATATTAACTGTAATAGATCTCTCAATTTGTGGAGAAATAAATATTTTTATTTCTGCCCTTGGACTAATTATTTTGTATGGCTTGTTTTGACCAAAGGTATAGATGTTTAATTGATCACCCTTCTGTACTGAAAGTTTTAGTATATTAATAAATCTTTCAGTAATATACGACTTTTGACTTCCGCTATCTAATAACAACCTACATTTAAGTAGATTATTATATATGTCTCTAATATTAATTATGGCTGTTTGCAATACTGTACCTTTCTCAGTTGCGACTGCAGCATGGAGTTTATTCTTTTGTAAATTCTTAGGGCACAAGGCTCTATTGTGTCGCTCTCCACAGTGGTAACATGTAACTTTATTTTGACACACTTTAACACTATGATTATTTTTAAAACATAAGTAACAACGACCCTATAATTGTCTTTTCCTTTCTTCTATATTTTTGTAAGCCTTACTTACTCATAATTAAAATGATCTGCAAGGCAGAATATGCAGGCCAACCTTTCCTTTTTGATGCTCATCTCTTCTGATAACCAATCTCCTCTTTAAACCCCTTTTCTGCACAGCCCTCCGAATTTTAAGGTTTTTGCTTGATTTAATATGTCTTCCCTTTTGCCTCATTACTAATCTCGTTGGCATTACAAGTAGTATACTGGTTAGCGACTAAATTGTGTTAAGTTTCCATCCTTGCATTTATCAAGTGTTCCAGATGTTTACGGATGCACTGTACAGACTCATCTTCCTTAGACATTTTAAGTCTTAGTTCCATATGTATATCTTCTGGAAACTTCTCTATTAGAACAGTTCTCAAGTGAGCTCCTGTCACGTCAAGCGTAGCCCTTTTAGTACCGATAGCAACGTCGAAGTGTACTTAGGTCCGTTTTTTATGCTCCCGTACATTCTCTAGTTTGTTACTGTTTTTGCTGTTGTTTTTGTTACTGTTGATTTTTTGTTTTTGTTTCTGTTGATATTCGTTAATTTGTTCTGTTACAATGAGTAAAAGAGGAAAGGTCTTGCACGGCGTTGCGTTCGCCACAATTTCTTATATAAGATAATGACATTCTTTGAACAAGAAAAGGTTGAAAAGCAGTTGATAACGCCTTATGATGTTCACGATGTCGTAGCTATGAAAAGTATTGCCAGATTAAAAAATGAAAACTCACGTGATACTTGTGGCAGCACACTGCTCACACAGCCCGATGCACCGTCGGAAATAGAAATTAAGTTGTTGGAAAATTAATAGAAGTACCAGGCGCTATTAAAATCATTCGATAACGTTATCAAGAGAACTGCGGCCGCCACTGGTATATCTGAACGTACTTTAAGAAATATAAAGACTGAAGCAAAAAAAATTAAAATGAGCTCACCTGAGCCCAATACTTCAAGTACACAAGAAATAAAATTGACGTCACCGTGAAAAAAGAAAATAGCCACAAAGAGGTTGGAAATAGATGATTTCATGGTGTGTTCGATTCGAAACATAATTGACCGTTTCTACACAGTTAAAAAAGGAAGTTCCTACGCTGCGCAAGATATTATCAGAAGCAAAGAAAGACTTCAATTTTCCTGGGCAAAAAGTCACTCTCTGGAAAATTATAAAAACGAATCTTGGATATAAGTTTACAAAATGTAAAAATATAAGACAATATCTTATTCAGAAACCGGAGATAGCAGCATGGAGAGCACGTTACTTGCGGAGATTACGTGAAAATGATGAACAGGGAGTCTATAAAAAAACCAGTCATATATTTGGATGAAACGTGGATACACAGCCACTACTATACCGTTTCAATATGCTGGCAAAAAGCAAATGATGCAAGTGTAAAAAAGAATTTCAATCCCGGACAACGTTGGATTGTGGTCCATGCTGGCAGCGAGAATGGTTTTGTCAAAGGTGCCGAACTCCTTTATAAATGCAAAAGCACTGCAGGGGACTACCATAGTGAAATGGACGCAAATAATTTCAAAAAGTATATACAGGAAAAACTCCTACCCAACTTACCTCCCAATAGCATTCTTGTACTTGACAATGCACCGTATCACAGCCGCCAGATTGATAAACCACCGACTTCAGTGGCACGCAAAGAAGTTATGCAAAAATGGTTGCAGGAAAATGGTATATCCTTTGACCCAAAGATGACGAAGCGAGAATTATACTATGTAGTATGTCATTCGAAGCCTACCAAAAAATATGAAATTGACGAAATTGTCCAAAGTCATGGACACGAAGTCTTACGCCTACCACCGTACCAATGTGATTTGAATCCCATCGAGTATGTGTGGAATCTAGTGAAGCAAAAAGTAGCCGATAAAAATGTAAGCCAGTCTGAAAAAGAAATACAAAAACTCACTCTGGAAGCTATTAATAGTATCTCTGTAGAGGACTGGAAAAAAGAGGTAAACCACGTTGACCGTTTACGGCAACAATATTGGGAAAGCGATAGGTTGCAAGAACTCAACGAAAGAGAATTGATTATTTCGGTGGGCGGAGAGACTGATGACAGTGACACAGAATGGAGTGATGACAGTGACACAGAAACAAGCGATTTCGAAAATCTTTAATTTGATATATTTAAAATATAAAATAAAATTATAAAAAAATATTTTATTTTATCGAACACGTTATTATTTCATCATCATCATCATTCAAAAAATATTTTATTTCATCGAACACGTTATTATTTAACTTTATTGAAAATATGAATACTAAAAAACATAAACATGATGACTTTTTTCGTCTACGGTACCGTCAGCTGTGACGTCGTAACGGTCTACGACGGCAAACTCGAAATGAACGCGTAGTATATCTTTCATTTTTACATTTCAACAACTTCCATTTAACCTCTATTTCCTCATGGCCATAGATTAATTAATAACTATATACTAGAGATGCTCATGGCGTCTTTTTTCCAATTTTAAACTTATTAAAACTTCTTTACAAGATTCCACCTGTTCTTTGATAAGGTTCAATCTAATCTGAGCTGTACTCATTTTATTCACTTACTTTAACTCTTCTCTACTTAAACAATAATTATAATATAAATTTTGCGCAAAACTCGACACCATTTTTCAATTTCTATGACTTCCTATTTATGATTCACAAACAACAAACCGCAACAAACAAATTCACATTTCACATATATCACAGATTATAAAGTAACAAAGATGTAACCGATATATTCGTATTTATTAAAATATTAGTAATATTTCATGGATTCGTAGATAAGTAATCCAACGGATTCTGATATGCTAATATTCCATATTCACTTCATTTATACACTGACCGTTCAACATCGGTTGGATAATATCAATTGGTTGCTGTTATTCGTGACAAATATCTGTATTGTTATTCATATGGTAAGTATGGCGGTGCGAGTGGGTGAGCCGAATGTCCGAATGAATTAACCGATACGAGCGTTTGTCGGGTATTAACGACCGGTATTAATAAGATGTTTAAAATTTCTTGACCTTTTAGTGGTGGTTTTAATAGTGTACATTTACATTTATATATTTTAACAAAATTATTAGTTTCATTGTCATGGAATTTCCCCAATATTCTTGCCAAGATCATATCAACATCCGTTGGAATGAGTTATCATATCGTTAACCGTCGCATTAAGATATCAGTAATATTCATATAAATTACTTTAAATATCATAATATCACTTGACGAATATATTCACATCAACTAATACTGACAAATATCGGTATTAACCCATCTTTCAGACGTATATACAGTAGGTAATCTATGAATTCACAACTCACAAGTACATATCTGGTTTGAGAATAAGATACATACCTATTATAAAGCAAAGACTTTAGGACGATTGCATAGAGTATCACAACTCTTAACTCGATTCGATGTTCCGATTGCCTACAATTGATTTTCGGAGAGAAATACTATTATTATAGTGTATAGTTTATAATTATAAAATTCACTTCACGTCATAGTTTTCACTTTAGAAATATATTTTTGTTCTTATTTCGCAAATTAAAGTAATTGAAAAAGTATATTAGCACGAACAGAATTTGTTTTGTATTATCACTCCCATGACTACAGGTGTGAAGCTACTTTGAATCTATTCTATTCTATCGATAACTTAATGTAAATTAAGGCCGAATACGACGCGAATGACCTTGCTAGTTTCGCAGCAAACCACGCGCCGCCAGTACCTACCCTTTGTTTATATAGACATATATAATAAGCCCGTACGGCTTTGATTATATTTGACTGAACTAGCTCAGATGCAGAGTAATGAACAACACAGAGAGCATTGCTTACTTCTTAAATAATTTTTTCTTATTTATAATATTAGTTCCAATAGATTATAAATTCTGTACTTTATTCGTTATAAAATATTGTTCGAAAAGTTATTGAATTGATAACGATTTTTTTTCTTAATTGGTGCATCGTACGTAAAGAATCTCATATAACTGAAAATGTTTGTTCTTGTGAGTCTTACAAGATGCCGTAATGCAAATTGCATAAATAATAAAGAAAAAAAAACTAAAAAGTCGGTGATTGCCCCATAGTGGGGATAGGTACTGTGTATGTAAATTCTCACAAGACTACTCCTACTGGTCAATCACTTCACATCCGAAGTATTTCGGTTTTTCTTAATTATGTACTTTTACCCCATGCTTTCAGACAATACATTGACTGACATTATTTGCGGTCTCTGTGCTTGCACTACTCTGTATTTTATTTTTTCCGACTGGGTCTTGATATTTTACATTTTTAGTATAAATGATCAGTTTGGCTAATGTAAATGAGTAAAAATGCAACCTATTAGGCAGCCTCAAACAAAAAATTACCTTACTAAATATAAGTATTAACCTCAAAATACAACATTCGAGCAGCGTTCATGCGATAAACTCTCTTTGTTTTACCACTTAGGTAACATTTATTTCTTTTCCTACCCATATTTACATTTATAGACACTTTTTTTTAAA